AGTAGCTGCTGCCCATAAGCTGCATGTGAAATGCTTTATCCTGAGATAGATCCTCTCACTGGAGTCATGAGGTGAGCATGGTGGCCTTGTAGGCACTGAGCTTTGGGAGCCTAACCTGGGGACTCCTGCACATGTTTTGGATGTTGTTGTTTTCATGATTCAGTCGAATGAGGAGCCAGGAATGCTTTTCCCTGATGCTTTGAAGATTTTGATTTGTTTCCACCGTCCATCTGTATAATGATGTTAAAATGATACTGAAACCAAAGCAGACCAAAGAGTTACATTATGATCTTAGCTCTGCTGGTTTTGCATGGAGACATCTTGGACTTCTGCTTTTCAGGGAGCATTATCCTCTTTTGGCCTCAGGTAGAGATCAAACATCGCACCTTAGACTTTAGGTTTCTTGGAGGAAAAAGGAGCTTAAAACAAGAGGCAAAAAGCTCACCAAAGGCACTGAGCAAGCGTGGTGGCATTCTTGCCATGGGGAGCTGACAGGAGTCCTAAGACAAATGTGGGCACTCAGAATTTTGCTGGTCCATCATTCACTCGTGCCTGCTCATCTGTGGCATAAGTGAAAACCCATCTAGTCCAGACGTGACCTTGTCCAGGAGAGACACTGTTCCCAGGTGGTACAGTCTGCTATCATACTTAATGCAGCAGTAGAGAGCTTTGGGAAAGCTGAATGCGTGAACAGGTATGGCCAGGATGGACGGGACTTTCAGCAACCTGGTCTACTGGAAGGTGTCCCTGCCCTCGACAGGGGTTGGAACTGGATGAGCTTTAAGGTCCCTTCCAACCCAGACCAGGCTGGGATTCTATGAAATCCTCAGTCATCAATAATGCATGCTAGCTTCGTTACCAAAATAGCAATTAAAGATTTAATGTATATGTTTTATTAGTTACTGGTGGCACCTTTCCCAACCTGATGCACTCTAGAGAGAGGCGTGCTGCCAGCTGAGGGTCATATGAGGGATGTCACCAAGAGACCAAACCTCATACATTATCCACTGCTGTTGTTTCATGTGGGCACCAGTGTCATAGCCAGGAGCAGTTTGAGGAGTATCAGGAAGGATTACAGAGCCCTGGGAGTTGGTGTTTGAGGGACTGTGGAGTTCAGGTAGTTTTCTCATCAGGCCTTCCTGTCCAAAAGGCCAGTTGAATCTGGTGAATCAGTAAATGGTTACAGGACTTGTGTCACAGCCAGGGTTTCACTACTTAGATCATGGAACCTGGCCTGATGGGATCCATCTGGCAGAGAAGAGGAAGAGCATCTTCAGTTACAGGCTTGCCAGGCTGATGAGGAGGGCTTTGTACTAAGTGTTGCAGGGAGGGGAGCCTCAATCCATCTCATTCCCATGAGTTTGGTGCCATTGCCAGCAAGAGATGCGTAAAGCCTGGAAAGGCATCACAGGTCAGCAGGGGAGCACCTGAAGAGCAGCACAAAGGAATTCCAGCCCCTCCAGCCAGAAAGCTGGCTTCACTGGGACCCAACTTAAATGCCTCTATGCAAATGTATGTAGAGTGGGTAATAAATAAGAGGAGGTAGAGATCATAAAATCATAGAAGGATTTGGGTTGGAAAGAACCTCAAAGCTCATCCAGTTCCCACCCTCCTGCCATGGGCACAGACACATTCACCTAGACCAAGTTGCTCAAGACCCTGTCCAGCTTGGCCTTGCACACTGTGTGCACATCTGCAGGGCTGTGTTCTTACTGGTATCACAGAGATGTGCTGGGATGGCTCCTATGATTGGAGCAATGCAATGGAAGGATGCAGGCTCTTCAGGGAGGACTAGGCTGAAGAGACAGGAGGCGTCACCCTCTGTGTCAATGACCAGCTGCAGTGCATGGGGATGGATGAGGAGCCAACTGAGAGTCAGGATTAAAGGGAGGGCAGGGGACATTATAATGGGGTCTGCTGCAGGGTGACTGACCAGGAATACCAAGTGAATGAGGCTATAGGCAGGTAGGTGCAGTCTTGCGTTCACAAGGTCTGGTCCTTATGGGAGACTTCAGCTACCTTGAAGTGTGCACCAATACATGAGCAATCCAAGAGGTTCCTAGAATGCGTTGGTGGTAGCTTCCTTCTCCAAGTGATAGAGGAGCCAAGGAGTGGAGGTGCTATGTGGACCTTGTTCTCACCAGCAGGAAGGGGCTGGTGAAGAATGTGAAGCTCAAGGGCAGCCTTGGCATCAGTGACTATGAAACGATGTTCAAGATACATAAAAAGGACATGGATCTGTTGGAACAAGTCCAGAGGAGGCCACGAGGATGCTCAGGGGCTGGAGCAGCTCCTGTATGGAGATAGGCTGAGAAAGTTGGGTCTGTTCAGTCTGGAGAAGAGAAGGCTGCTTGGAGACCTCAGAGCAGCTTTCCAGTATCTGAAGGGGGCCTATAGGGATGCTGGGGAGGGACTCTTCATTAGGGACTGTAGGGACAGGACAAGGGGTAATGGGTTAAAACTTAAACAGGGGAGGTTTAGATTGGATCTAAGGAAGAAGTTCTTTCCTGTGAGGGTGGTGAGGCACTGGAATGGGTTGCCCAGGGAGGTTGTGAATGCTCCATCCTTGGTGGTGCTGAAGGCCAGGTTGGACGAGGCCTTGGGTGCCATGGTTTAGTGCGAGGTGTCCCTGCCTATGGCAGGGGTGTTGGAACTGGATGATCTTAAGGTCCTTTCCAACCCTAACTATTCTATGATTCTATACTTAGTGCAGCGAGGAGGGTGCACATCAAGTTCGCTGCCCTGGAGAGCAGATTTGGCCTGTTCTATGATTCCATGAAACAAGAAAATAAAAGCCACTGACAGTGCTTGTCTAAACTATTTTTGCTTGCAGGAAAATGGCCTGGCTTTTACAGTGAAATAATGTCAGATTTTAATATGTCGAGAAAATGTGGGGGAAGTGATTGGAATACATATGTCTTGAAATGAGAAAGGCCCCCAAAAAATCTCACCATGATCCTGCTTCGATTTATAAAGAAGTAGGCACTGTAGGAGTCTTTGAAAGCTGTGCAGACGTTTTAATGCTGAAGTGACACAAGTGCCAATATTTTAATCTCATACACTGTATGATAGTAAAACATATTTCTGTGCATATCCAAGCCTGAGAACTGCAGTCCTGTTCCCCTTGAGTGTTCAGTGCCCGATCACATGCAGCTTTCATAATATATAGGCTGTGGATAATGACATGTAATGAGGAATGGGCTCTCCTCCTTTTGCATCTCAGGGCATGGTTCCTGCTGTCTGTCTTGTTTTTAATGATACGTATTTCCAAGTCTTTGCACTACTCACTGCTACAGAATTTGCTGTTGTAGAGTTGGACTCCCAGTTGTTGAAGTAGTGCTTGAAGGCCAGAATGTGCAGCCCTTGCAGCTCATGCAAGGCAAACAACATGTTAGGAAGAGAGGGACCAGCAGGGAACTGATGGTATTGATTATTATAAGCTGGGGTTTTGGTCAGTAGTGCAGCAGTGGCTTCATGTCTATTGAGAAGCAGTCTCCAATAACTAAAAGGGCTGCAAGGATGCTGGAGAGGGACTCTTCATCAGGGCCTGTAGGACCAGGCCAAGGGGAATGGCTTGAACCTGCCCGAGGGGAGATTGAGCTGAGCTCTTAGGCAGAAGCTCTTCCCTGTGAGGGTGCTGAGGCGCTGGCACAGGGTGCCCAGAGAAGCTGTGGCTGCCCCATCCCTGGCAGTGTTCAAGGCCAGGTTGGACACAGGGGCTTGGAGCAAGCTGCTCCAGTGGAAGGGGTCCCTGCCTGTGGCAGGGGTTGGAACTGGAGAAGCCTTAACATCCCTTCCAACCCAAACCAGGCTGGGATTCTGTGATCGTTGTAGTTGTGGATATTTGTATGAGTAGGGTGGGAGAGCCCAGTGGAAACCCCGGTGTTCTCTGGAAATAGGAGCTTGGGGGACAGAGTTTTGGAAGCAGAGCTGAGTTTCGTGTCAAAGGCAGGGAGTGCCGAGTGGTCAGGATCTTTCTTCCACTACAGTCTTTCCTTCATGGCTGTGGTCTCAATTGGGAGCCCTAGAATGGGGACAACCAAGCCATGCCCAGAGGCAGGGAGAGGGGCTCGCCAGTCCCCCCTTCAGGAGCAATCCCTGTTGTAGCATACAGAACCCAGCAGTCACTGTAAATACTGCACCTTAGGACATAAGTTATCTATTTTCATCCTCTTTTAAGCACTGTCTTTAAATATACCCTAGAGAGTGGGCAGGGAGGTTTGGAGACATTTTCTCTTACCCACCAATGTGATACTTGAGAGGCTTTCCGTTGGGTCCAGATATCCAAAAGGAAAGATTTTGATCTTAGAAAGCTTGTGTGCCTTGAAGTTGCTCATTAACCATTCAGCATAAGATCTGTCAATAGAGTCAGCAGCTATTATTATTTATTATTGTTATTATTATTACTGCTTTTTGTTAAATCTGCTCCTTTGTTAAATATTTGGGCTTTCCTTAGAAGTTGATGAATTTATTCCTCCTTTTCTTCTATTTAGATTTAAGGAAAGGCATATAGTTGGGGAAAGCAGGGGATGCTTATAGTCTGCAACAGCCAGTTACAAAGAAACCAACTACTACACACTTTATCTTAGGGTAGAGGAGAATAACCAATTTTCTCTGCTTCTGTCAAGGCTTTTCTTTTTGAGGTTATTCTCTCACTTTAAATAACAAGATAGGAAATCCTGGCTTTTTCAGTTTGATTAAATCTTTCCGCCTTACTGGTCTGATTTCCTGGTGAAGACTGGTGGATGTCCTTATAAGCAGGTCAGATAGGTGACTTGAGAGCAACAGTCTTCCCTGATAAAACAGATGTGCATCGGGCCTCACCCAGTGTCATAGGCACCTAAATGTGCAAACCACTCTGCTGTGTTATCGCCTAGCCAAGTACCTCTAAGCATGCTATGAACTTTTAGTCTGTTTCTTTGATTTACTAGGATTTTTCATCTGCTGTCACATTCTGAACAAAGCCAATAAGATATTTTGTCTCTCTTTTCCCTTTACAGTTGTTTCCTGTCTTTGCTCCTGGTGGCAGCTGTGGTTTGGAAGATCAAGCAGAGTTGCTGGGCGTCGCGGCGAAGAGAGGTTGAAATGATAAAACCAAATGCTATCTTTTCAGTGGCTTCTTTTATAGTTGTTCTCTGTTGTATTTATTCACATATGCATAGCATTAACCTTCAGTTAAGGATAAGCTCCACTAATCTATAAGTGCTTCTGTTTAGGGATTTATAATAGTGTATGTTCGATTGCAGTCTCAGTGACAAATGATGCTATTTTAGTATCCTGATGCTGCAGTTTCTGTGAAGCACAACAAAAATAGGGGTGAGTGTCCTGAGTTCCAAGAACTCAGATTCTAGACTGAAATGTATTTGTAGCAGAAATATAACCCCACTATAATTTAGGAGATTCTTCACATCTGTGTCGAAAGAGGAGGTTTCTGTGCTGAGCCTCTGACCCACATTAGCCCCTGCTTCAATCTGTTTAAAGAGGCTGATTCCCCTTTTCAGATTAAAAGCCTATCTAAATGGTTTGGGTGGGTGTTTTGGGGTGTTTTTTTTTTGCCTGTGGAGCACAGTAGCAGAACAGAAAGGTGGGAGAAGCCACGCAGGACTTGGAAAGCTTTTGTGTACTACTTAAAAGGTGACTTCTGGTGCCAAAGATTTCTCCTCTTCATCCCATCCCAGTTTCCCAACTCCTTCCTGTTCGCAGCATGTAAAAAACTGTGCTTTACACCCCCCATATATGGTTCCTCCTTGTTTATCCCTGATGCATTTGGTGGGGGTTTTTCACTGCTCTTTTTTTCCTGCTTATCAGTTGAAGCTAATTGCATGTTAGACCTAAAGCACTCGGGCTGACCAAGATAGGATGGCCAACATGTTGTTGCCCCATAGTATACAGAATGTGTCCATATCTCGCATATTTAAGTAAGAAACCCAGACTGGTTTGCATAGGAAGGGATCTTAAAGCTTCTCCAGCTCCAACCCCTGCCACGGGCAGGGACCCCTTCCACAGGAGCAGCTTGCTCCAAGCCCCTGTGTCCAACCTGGCCTTGAACACTGCCAAGGATGGGGCAGCCACAGCTTCTCTGGGCACCCTGTGCCAGCGCCTCAGCACCCTCACAGGGAAGAGCTTCTGCCTAAGAGCTCAGCTCAGTCTCCCCTCCGGCAGGTTCAAGCCATTCCCCTTGGCCTGTCCCTACAGGCCCTTGTCCCAAGCCCCTCTCCAGCTTTCCTGCAGCCCCTTTAGGCACTGGAGCTGCTCTAAGGTCTCTGCTTAAGGAGCCTTCCCTTGTCCAGGCCAGCTCTCCCAGCCTCTCTTCTCAGGAGGTCATCCCCCAAGACCAGATATCTCTAAGGAGTGAGGTGTGTTTCTACCCTGCTTTTAGACCTTAGGGTGAAATCTGCCCCTTCCCATAGATTTTCCTCCTATCTGCCCTGCTGGAATGATGCTGCAGACACCCAGCCCTGTAACTGTTCTAGTCAAGGGTAGTTTATTCATATGTAGTAATTGATCAAGACTGTTCTGAAGATTAATTTTTACAGTGCTGAAATTCAGTGCAAGTGCCCATTTCATGCATCTCTTCCAAACTCTGTCTCTGATTGTACTTCCCAGTGCAGTAGTGGGAATAGGATAAATGTATTCAGTCTGAGGATCTCCTTTCTTCTAATAAAGCAGGACGATGCTTGATAACTCTTCCTCTTTCTGCTTCGGATGTTTTTGCTCTTACTAGTGAACTCAAATGCATAGTATAATCAGTGGCTTTCAAGCAGATAACCCTTCATCTTGGAAGTAATTTAAGTCTTTGAGGTTTCCTGGACTCTCTGAAGGTAGATAAATTTTTACTAGGGAGCCTGGTTTTTTCCTTCTCACTTTTCTTGGCAAGCAAGTAAGCTGGAGTCAGCGTAGTGTTCCCTATTGGCTCTTGGGGTTAAATGTTATCTAGGAACGTATGAGGGATATAGACTGAAAAGTAAATACAGTGCTTTGGAGCTCAGTTAAAATACTTTAGCAGGGGCCTAAATGAAAAATGTCTTGATAAATTAAGTTCCTTTCAGTCTGATCTGTGTTTAAAGGAAAAAAGCTGGAGTGCTCATAGCGTCTTGGTATGTTTGAGTTTAAACTCCATTTACACCTCTGTCTGTTTGATGAGCAGTTCATTGGTGTGTCCTTTTCCTGCCAAATTCTTGTCTTTTCCTTCTATTTGTCTTGCTCCTACTTCCCATCTCAATCTTGTAGGTCATAGATCTCGTGTTCCATTCTTGTTTTGTGAGATATACCTGTCCAACTCAAGGGAGTGGAGAGGGGCTGGGGACAAGGGCCTGTAGGGACAGGCCAAGGGGAATGGCTTGAACCTGCCTGAGGGGAGACTGAGCTGAGCTCTTAGGCAGAAGCTCTTCCCTGTGAGGGTGCTGAGGCGCTGGCACAGGGTGCCCAGAGAAGCTGTGGCTGCCCCATCCCTGGCAGTGTTCAAGGCCAGGTTGGACACAGGGGCTTGGAGCAAGCTGCTCCAGTGGAAGGGGTCCCTGCCCATGGCAGGGGTTGGAACTGGAGGATCTTGAGATCCTTTCCAATCTAAACCAGTGTGGGATTCTATGAAACCATTTTAAATCTCTGCCATTCCATTATTAGATGCTTTAATAAAGTCTATCTCCAGAAACAGAAGTCCACCCAAAAATTCTGCATCTTTTTAATATAATCTAAGATGATTTTATAGCTTGCAGGGTTTTTATTTTATACAAACTCTCAGTAAATTCTAGCAAGGCTCTCTTTAAACATTCATAGTTAATCAGAGAATCCCTGACTGGTTTAGACTGGGAGGGACCTTAAAGCTCCTCCAATTCCAGCCCCCTGCCATGGGCATGGACACCTTACACTAGAGGAGGTTGCTCAGTGATTAGTAGCAATTTACTGCATTGAAATTTGAGGTGTACCAAGATTTCCCTGTGTTCTGAGGATGCTCCTGACGTGGGTCTGTTTCAGATCTGCCATTCTCCCTTCCTTTGGCAGTGACTTCTCTCTTTGGGTTTCTCCAGTACACTTACAGAGCTCTTAAGTCACATTTTGCTTGACTGGGAACAACAGATTTTGCTTCCGGGCCCATGGCAGGGGTTGGAACTGGATGATGTTACGGTCCTTTCCAACCCAAACCATTCATTGATTCACTAACTTTTCCTCTACAAACTGCTGACACATTTGATGGAGACCACCTCATCCACCTCCTCCCATTACAGTTTAGATTCTGGGTGGATTAAGCGGCAGTGGCAGGACACTGGATTCAGACATCAGCATCAACCTTTGAGTGAATATATGCTACAGCTCTGGAGGAAGGTATTTCTCTGGCTTGGGCTGTATTTTTAGAAGTAGTCATGTTACAGTTGCCTGTCTCCCATGGGCTGTGCTGTAGTAATTCTGTGCTCATTCTTTAATCTTAACCCCAAAGTAAGTAAAATATAACACAATCTGTGAGTAATTCCCAGCTATCAATCACGTCTGCTTCCAATATAAGCACTGCAGTGCCTAACTTCTTATCACAGTGCAGAGTGAAAAGTAGATAGCTAGATCTGAGAGGGAGCGTGTTGAAAGGTCTGGTAATCAGAATTATTCAGTATTGCTGGGAGAAGTCATACAGCTGGGCTTGGTGTGTTGGGTTAATGGAACAGAGCAGCATCATCTGGTTCAAAGCGAATTTGCATTACTCCTTACTGAGAAAGCAGTGTGCTAAATCCAGAATCTATGTCAGGATCTTGTACAATGTATTTAAGGTCCCTTCCAACCCAAATCATTCTGTGAGTCCATAAGATTCTCCCTTTCTTCCTTCCATTTTCATTTCTGCAGCTAATCCTCTTTGACCACGTATCAGTGCTGATGCTCCCCAGCTTCCTGGCTAAAGGGTCTTTTGGATGTGCAAACACTGTGTAGCAAATGTCTAGTTGTAGGAAAATGAGTTTGGAGCACTGGGCAAAAGTTCAGGCCTTGCAGAGTATAAAGCTTGACCCTAAGTAAAAATGGGAACAATTTGTGTCATTTCAGGCATGGAGGAGATGGGATTGTAAATTGTGTGTTTATTCCCTCTCCACTGAGCACCAAGTTTAAGTACCTTCAGACATCTTAAAGAGGGGAAAATGGAAATCAAATGGCAGCTTTTATAGGAGGCTTAGGAAGAGGTGAATGACATTAGGAAATAGGGATAGGAAACCTTTCTATCTTGTCTCTAGAAAATGACATGTTAAATGTATTGAGGTGGTAATAGAGAATAATGCACAAAATACGAGAGTGGCATTAGAAATTTAATATGCTCATCTGCTGTCGTGAATTTTCTGTCCTATTTTATTCCAGCATCCAACTTCTGTTCTCTTCACCCTCAGTTGGCTTCATCTCCTCCACTTTGAGCAAGAAATAATTCCTCTTAACATTTCCAGCAAATGGAGCATGGGTAGTGATGGCCAACCCAGTGTAATTGCATGAGGAATGGCCGTGCCCCACTGGGATGTGTGGGGAGCAAAGTGGTAGGAAAAGGGGCAATGGCTTGAACCTGCCCGAGGGGAGACTGAGCTGAGCTCTTAGGCAGAAGCTCTTTCCTGTGAGGGTGCTGAGGCGCTGGCACAGGGTGCCCAGAGAAGCTGTGGCTGCCCCATCCCTGGCAGTGTTCAAGGCCAGGTTGGACACAGGGGCTTGGAGCAAGCTGCTCCAGTGGAAGGGGTCCCTGCCCATGGCAGTGGTTGGAGCTGGAGGAGCTTTAAGGTCCTTTCCAACCCAAACCAGTCTGGGATTCTGGAATAACTAAATTTGGGTGTCCAGACCTCATTTGCACCTTTAACACACTAAAGTTGTCTTCATTTTGCCTCCCTTCTTGCCAAGACTATTCAGGACTGAACGTTTTCACTCTGTGCACTACCCAGCTTATTCAGGATGGAGTTTGTGAATTGATTTACTGCAGGGATTATCCTTCTCCTTCCTGACCTCATTGCTGAAACCTTTTTCCCTCCCAAGTGGGTTCAAACTGTAGCAGTGCTTCTTTTCCACTGGCATCCTCCTCTGTAACATCCAAGAGCATTGGATACCATTTCGGGAGGCATATTGCTGTC